ATGCTTTTGTCTCTGCCACCCAAGTGGGAGACCTGGATGGAGCCAGAAGTTCCAGGACGTCAGCCTAGGCCAACTCCAGCCACGGCAGGCATTTGTTAGCATGAACAAATGGACACAGGACCTCTCTCTCCTTCTCCCTGATAAATAGATAACCCTTGTAAAAAATAAAGCAAATCAAAATAAAATGTACTCCCTCAACACAGCTCTCCCATCAAGCTACTGTAAGCTTCTTTTAGCACCAAAATTTTCAAAAATGCATCTGTCTAGCAGACTCCTCCTCCTTCTCATTTATTTAGAGCTTTGATTTTTAATGACTGATGCTGCACCATTCAGAATGGATCCGGTCCTGGGCAGGCAAGCAGCAGCCGTGGAGGCCAAGGCAACTTCAGTGAACAGCCCTCATCACCTGGTCACCTGCTCCACCAGGTCACTCAACCAAACATGTACTCTAAGAAAAACATGAGATGCTGGAAAATCTCCTCGCTCCCTTTGCGTCACAGCTTTTTTCAGGTCTCCAAGTCTCTGTTCTGATGCAGAATATGAAGGTGGTCCCCATTCCCTTCTCATAGCTCCCACTCATAGTTCTGTATTCAGTCACTGCTGGATCCCTAGAAAACATCAAGCCACGTATCAGTGTCCCCCAAAAAGGTCATAAGGTTCTAAGAGTGTGACCTTGGGTCTGGCACAATGGATTATTGACTAATGAGTCAACCCCTTGTAAGTGCTGGGATCCCATGTGGATGTCTTCATGATCTGGAAGAAGCTCCTGGCTCCTGGCTCCTGGCTTCAGTCCGACTCAGTTCCATTCACTGCAGCCACTTGGGGAATGAACCAGTGGATGGAAGATCTTTCTCTGTGTCTCTCCTTCTCCCTGTAAATTTGATCTTTCATTCCAATAATACTAAGTAAATCTAAAAAAAAAATGTTAGTTTATTTTGCAATTGGTCCTTGCAGATGTAATTGGTTAAAATGAGATAATGCTGAAATAAGGCTAGCCCCTAATCTCATGCAACTGTTTCCTTACAAGAATGGGAAAATGGGGGAGGTAGGTACAGTGGCATGGCAAATTATATCCTCTGCCTGTGTTGCTGGTATCATCTATGGGCACTGGTTCATGCTCTGGCTGCTCCACTTCCAATTCAGCTCCTGGCAAAGCAACAAAGGAGGACCCACAGCTTGGGCCCTTACATCCATCATCCATGTGGGAGATCCAGAGGAAATTCCTGGCTCCTGACTTCAGACCAGGCCAGCTCTGGCCATTGCGGGCATTTGGGTAGTGAGCCAGAAAATGGAAAATCTCTCTGTCTCTACCTTTCTCTGTTTCTGTAACTTTGATTTTTGAGGGAGGGAGGGAGGGAGGGAGGGAGGGAGAGAGGGAGGGAAGGAAGGAAGGAAGGAAGGAAGGAAGGAAGGAAGGAAGGAAGGAAGGAAGGCCGGACCTCAGTCGTTTGCCCTCTGTTAGCAGCTGACTTCTTTCTCAATCCTGCTGCCTCACCTTCCCCCCACCCACAGCCCCCCGCCCAGAGACAGCACCCATCTCCCCTGGGGCAGCTTGTCCCAACCTAAAACCTACCTGATGGAATCCTTTTCTATTCTGAAAACCAAGAGAAACTTGAAAATGAAAGTCTGCTTTTCATGTACTTGAAGTTCTATATGAACCCCTTAGAAACATTTTTTCATCTACCATTCTTAATCGAGAAAGCAAGTTTTGACAAACCAAAGGCTGTAATCCGGCCTTAGAAACCCAACACTGATGAATGCTCCTGAGGAGATGTACTCCTATCTTGTTTCTACTTGTGTTCTGTTCAATATTTTCACTATAAAATGTAGCCATGTTCTGGGCGTGATTTTAAAAAGCAAAAATTTGATGTTTAAGTGGCAGAAGCAGGCATTTGGCATAGTGGCTAAGAAAAGTAAAGGCTGAAATTAAAAGTGAATATAACTAGCAGTTCTTTTGTTTTCATACACATCATTTGGAAAAGCTACTTTGGATACCACTAGTTCGCCTAGTCATGAGTAAAACGCAAAGAAGAAAATCCTGTGTTGCTTCAGTAGATAATCCAAGTGACTGCACATGTTCAAGGAGTGCCATAAAGCTGGGTTACAGGCAACCCTTTCAAATCCTATTACCATGTTCTCATTTGCGCAAAACCCTTCTGCAACCATCGCACATTTAGCACATTTCCAAAATACAGAAATGGATAGAATAGAGATCTCACCAATAGATCATAACCAGTTGCAGACAGTAATGTTGAAGAAAAGAAAACCTTAATAATATGGATCTTGACAAATAGAAACAGTAGAAAAAAACAAATATTGTGAGAGAATTAGTGTTATGTTGCAAATATTTGGTCAAAAAATGAAGATTTCCTCATTTGCCAGATCAAAGACTTGGCAGCAACTGGCCTTTTTGGCAACTCCAGTTACTGCGTTACATCTTTCTTCCTTGGGGGATGGGGCGGGGGGACACTAAGCAACATGTTTTTCCTTTCTTGCTCTTTTTTCCTCCAAAGCCTTAGTTGTCCGTGATTGAGACTGAGACGGTTCAATAAATCACAATCTCTCCTGTACCAGACTTCTAAGTTTATCAAGAGAGACAAGGGAGTAAAACAGAAGGAGCACATGTTAGCGCCTCTGTGATTAATAAAGGCAACTGTACCCCCGGGAGGCTCCAAAAGAAGTCCGGAGAGTTCATCAACCAAACCTGCTTCAAAGCCACTCTTCATCCAAGCCTGAAGATCTCTTCCTATTCTATTTCCACCTCACATAGCATTGATTCCACAAAAGGCAAAAATAACACCATCAAAAACACTCCAACAATAATATGCTAACTGCCAGAGGTATAAATTTAAGCCCGCGGTCTATGAAGTTGAAACAGAGCAATTAAAGTCCTCAAAATAAACCTCTTCATCAATTTTAAGTCTTAGCAAAGGAAACTTCCAATGGGGATTCAAGCCTAAAGTCAGATTTATATATATATTCAATTAGAATATTTTCTATATGTATAAATATATATTCAAATCTGAACAAATCTTTCAAATGTTGTCTTTCTGGCGATGTAACTGTCCTAAGAACCTCTCCTAATAAAGGAAATTTAATAAGGCTAAAGAATACTAAAAGTTTTAATGCCTAAAAGTTAAGCAGCAAGGCAATAACAAAAATTGATCATGGTCAAAAGTTATGTTAAGATAAATCAGTAAAATAAGCTAACTCAAACACGGAAGCCAACAGCCACCCCAGGAACGCGTGGATCTCCGGCAGCCTAGAACTTGAACCTCAGTGAGCCGTAAGCAGCACTGTTTATATCCTGAGGATTCCAAGAAGCCGAAGGAAGCTTGCTGATGAAGCCTTGTAACCCAAAGACACGTTTTTGCATCTTCTTTGGCAATCCACGTAGGGATATCAGATGATTTTCCCCAGGAAATCATTTTTGAAAGTGCCACTTTTTGAATTATTGCATTTTTGAAAGTGCCCCTTAAGGTTTTGCAGACGTTTTGAGGACTGTGTCCCAATTCCATTAATGCCAAAATTTCTTTTATTTCAGTGTGTAACTTTTATGATACATGAGCATTTTAATGATATATACACCACATTATGACATCAGATTCTCCATTTAATAACATGCTTGAAGAAATAGGAGACATTTTTCAGATTGGAGCAAAAATTGCGACAGATGGATATACCTAATAGGTTAATAGACATTATAATTTGTCTACTAATACAGAAAATAGAACAGCATTACTGATAAGATTATGGCATATGAGACTCCTTAGGAATACAATTTAGACTTTCAAACTTTTTATCTTAAGTACGTTAGAGTAGAGTTTCAAATCATGCATAAATGTTTGTCTACGCAGGACCACCATGAAGAAAAGAACTGCCTACTTAAATCCTTACTTCACACATCGCTTTAATTTGGAAATACCATAAACACTTTACTTGCCAAAAATTGAATCCTAATAAAAAGTATTAGTTTTTAAAGTGTAAATAAGGTTATCTCTAAGATATTTTTAAAAGAAAGTGCAAAGAACTTATATTCAACAATTGCCCCCCGCCAGAAGTGTTAGTTGCTGTGGACAGTATGGCAATACATTGTTATTGTTCATTTAAAATTGAAGCCAAATTTTTTTTATAAGTAACTAAGTTTGTCAGATCAATTTGACACTCGAAGCTGACCTTGCCATCTAGGTTATGTCTCAGGCATTTTCCAAAATTTAAATGATCTGTTGTTCATCATCGTAATGTTGATTTAAAAAAAAAATACAGCATTTATCAAAACTTTTTACTGGCAAAGATGCATTCAGATTGACAGTCATAATATTTTCTAAATATTAGTAACTACTGAGTTATATAGGCTTGAAGAGAACTTTGTATAATCCATAATCATTCAGTAAGTCTTGGTAAAGACGTATCGTTACTTCATAGAGATTTAGAAAGCAAATCATCAAGCAACTGAGTAAATCATCGTTTTGCAAGTCTTGTGGTTTCCAGGTCTTTGCTTTCAACAAACTCAAAAGTGTTCCTTAAAGGGCAGTCATTTGTCTAGCAGTTAAGATGCCCACTGGGGGGGTCCGCATTCCCTATCTGTGTGAGTTCAAGTCCTAAGTCTGCTCATGCTTGAAGCCTCCTGTGGATGTGCACAAGAGAAGGTGTAGGTGATGGTTCAGGGAATCAGATCCCTGCCATCCACACAAGAGACCCAGACAGAAGTCCTGGCTGCCAGCTTTGTCCTGCCCCAGCCCCAGCCAACTAGTGCTGGCATGTGGGTAGTGAACAAGAGAAGGGCAGATCTCTCCATTCAAAAGAGAGAGAGAATACACAAATACATCATGTTTTAAAAGCAAACATAAAGATGCACTCAGAAAAAATACAATATCCTTTTATGTCTTCAAAAACACTAAATACTAGGAATAGAGAGGAAATTTCTCAACCTGATAAAGAGCATCTTTGAAAAGACCGCAGCTAACATCATACTTAATAGTAAAAACCTGAACACTTACCCCAAAGCCAAGGGACAGAGCAGCGTGTGCTGCCAAGGCGTCTACTCAGCATCATGCTGGAGTTTCTAGCCAGAGCAACTGGACAAGAAAAATAAATAAAAGGCATATGCATCAAAAATGGAAAATACAGCTAACTCCATCTTACATGAGAGGTTTTCAAAAACCTCATGGAAAGACTGCACATAGATTTCAAACACTTTTTGCATCAAAATAAACTTGCCTTTTTATTCCATTTTCTATGAACCCTTTGAAGCAATCTCTCGTTTAGAATAACTTAAAGAATTCACTTTTTAAATTATTAGAACTAGTAAGTTCAGCAAGGTCACAGAATAAGATTGATATACAAAACTCAGTTTTATACACCAGTCATAAACAATCCAAAAATGAGGAAATAATTTCATCTAGAATGCCTCAAAAAAAAAAAAAACGAATAAAGTGGCTAGGAGTAAATTTAACATTGAAAACTATAAAACAACATTGAAAGCATTAAAAGGGCCTAAAAGTGGGGGAAAAAACATCCTACTAATTAATGGATTTAAAGACTGAATTTTATCATACAGAGTAATACATTCCAGACTGACATACAAATTCAATATACTATATCAAAATCCTAACAGGATTTTTACAGGAATTGGCAAACTGGTCCTACAATTCATATGGAAATCTATGGAGACTAGAAAGATTAAAAAAAAAAAAAACTTTATACAAAGAGCAAATTGTACCCACTTTCCTGTAGCCCTTGAACCTTTTTACCCAAATTAACTATGTAAAGATTGTCAAAATAAAAAAAGGAAAAAAAGGAGTAAGATGTAGGGCTGGCGTGAAGACAACAGAAGACCTGCTATGCCACTACATCAGTGTTCCCACGTGGACGCCGGTCTGAGTCCCAACCACTCCACTTCCAATCCACACTCTGCAAGTGTACCTGGGAAAGCAGCAGAGGATGGCCGGGGTGCTTGGGTCCCCCCACCCAGGAAGAGACCAGGAAGAGGTTCTTGGCTCCTGGCTTCCATCTGGATCAACTCCAACATTGAGACCACTGGAGAAGTGAACCAGAAGATAGAATATTTCTGTCTCTATTTCCATAAATCTTGCTTTCAAATAAAAATAAATATTGAAAAAAAGTTGGGCCTTCAGCCTCATACATGTTAACATATATGGATGTACATGCATAAAAATAGTTAATAAGTATATGGATATACAGATATACATGGATTCAAATGTATCACAGATCTAATAGTAAGGATTAAAATAGTAAAATTCTTGGAAGAAAGCATGAGAATATAGCTCAATGACAGATTTGACGATGGATTCTTAACTCTCGCATTAACATGACAAACCACAGAAGAATAGATAAGTTAAACTTCACCAAAGTTAAAAACTTTTGTACTTCGAAGGATATTATCAAGAAGGTAAACAGACAATTCATAAAATGGGGTATTTGCAAAGCATACATCAGTTAGGTGACTTATACTCAAAATATATGAGAAATTCTTTTAATTTCATGATATAAAGACATATAACACAATGAAAAGGTGTGAAAAAAAACCTGGATAGACATTTTCCCAAAGAAGACATATAAAGGTGTGTGTGTGTGTGTGTGTGTGTGTGTGTGTGTGTGTGTGTGTGTGGTTCCTAGTCTTTCCGTGCAACAAACTTTAAAGTGTTACATAAGAGCCAGGCATTTGGTCTGGCAGTTAAGACACCCTTGCGATGCCTACCGCTCATACCTGAGTTTAGGAGTTCAAGTGCTGGCTCTGCTCCTCCTGACCCCAGGTTCCTGCTAATGCACACCTTGGGAGGTGTAGACGAAGGTTCAAGCAATAATGGATGGATTCCTAGCTCCTGGTTTCTTCCCGGCCTCGCCTGAGCTGCTACAGGTCATTTGGGAAATAAATCAGATGAAAGATTTTTTTTTCTCTCTCTCTCTGTTATATTGTCTTCCAAATAAAGAAATAAAGCCTTAGAAATAAATTCACAAACTACTTTGTATCTCTGAAAAATAGATGACAGATAAGCAGATAGTTAATAATCTCAGGAGATTGCTCAACATTATTGGTCATTCATAGCATGCCAATCAAAACCCTGAGATATTTACTATTGTTCACCGAGGAAGATGACTACCATTAAAAAGATAATCACATGTTGGAGAGAATATGAAGGAACTGGAATTCTTATCGATTTCTGGTGGAAATATGAAATAGAACAGCTGTTTTGGAAAAGTTGTGTAATTACTCAAAAAAAAGTTGAACACTGATATATCCAATGGAATATTATTCAATGGAAAAGAAGGATTTACACAGAAGGGGTGCTCAAAAAGCTCATGGATATGTGGAAAACTGAACATATTCCAAGATTTTTATATCAAAATAAATTCAGCTTTTAATCCCATTTTTGTGAGCGGTTGGAAGTACCATGGTACATGCTATACTCAAAAACATGACGCTTTGTTAAGAAGCCGGCAAGTGAAGATAACATGTTTATCACCTCATGTGCAGGAGAGATCTAGAAACACAGCATGTAGAGAGGCACGAAGCAAAGCATCGGCTGTCCGGGTGAGGGCTGACTGCCGACGGCGAGAAGGAACCTCTAGAGTGCGGGAAGAGTTCTAACCGGGAGTGCGCTGGCGCTTGCGCGATCCACAGCGCATACTAAACATCCTCCGAGCTCCCCTTGAGGATAAATGCAAACTAGATCTCAGTAGAGCTGTTTTAAAATAACACACAGTTTCCCACACTTAAATTAACACATTTTCCTCCCTGTTATTTAAGCAAATGGCTATTAATCTTCTGTCATGTCCTAAACATATTTCATGGGACAGGTCCTGGGTATGACACATTGACTATTAGTTATCATCTTGTTTGTATCGTGTCAGCCCTAGAATGAAGATGTAACTACATCCATTTTTCAGAAGAATGTACCTAGATGTACACACACCCTAGGTTATCTGATCAGAATCACAGACTTAGGAAAGAAGTGATGAAGTTTCAATTTAAACCTGAGTTTGCCTCACCTCAGAGCCCAGGCTCGGTCCCCCACCCATCACACTGCTGGGCTGAGGACTGGGAAGGGTTCCTCTCAGCAAAAGAAAGGAGCTTGGTTGCCCAGGTAACCACATTCTCAATGTCAAACTGCATCGCACGCTCTCTGTCAGGCAAATCTTCGAGGATTTAAAACTGCTGCTGACATAAAATGGGGGCTGAACAAGTGACAAGAAGATCGCGATGGCCCAAGGTCAACCGAGTCTCTCTGGCCAAAACTTCCAAATGGTTCAGCTGGTCACAGAAGAGATGAAATTGATGTCTCTAGTTAGGGCATCCACTGGTCTCCCAAGAAAGTCATTTAAATGCAAATTCTAAAACTCCATGCTGATTCCTGGACCAATACACAGAACCTCAGAATATGGGGTTTTTTTCTTTTTTTTTTTTTAACAACCCTAAGAGAATTGTTAAAAAATCCCAGACATCAAAGATAAAGGGACCCATCTGAATACTGCCTTTGGACATTAATTCGCTGTGGCATCTTGCCAAGTTATTACCTTTCCATCTAGTTTCCTTATGTAAAAATGTTGCTGCTAATAAGCATCTCTTGAAATTTTCATAAATCTGTAATTGCTCAAGAAAGCGTTCAATTAGCAGTTGTTTTTATTGATGTGTGTGTTTCCTGAGAGCCTGGCGAGGAGATTGGCCAGCAGTCCAGACTGAACGTTTTTTCTCACAAACAGGTCTGCAGCTGACAAGCTACTGGGTTGGATGAAATCAACCCAACAGGGAGAGCGAAATATCCCAGGCCCTCAGGGAACTGCTGACTTACGTCCTTTGTAGAATGTTTTAATATTTGAAGCTGAACATTATTCACTCACAATTTATTGTTTGGTCTTCAAAAATGATACTAAAAAAAAGAGGTGAGAGAAACCATGTGGCAAAGGTGCCACCTAGTGGCAGCTGCAGGCTATGCACATGGCACTTGCCAGCAGCGGCAATCTAAACTAATCCTTGAAACATTCAATCCATTGCTTTCTTACGTACAAACTGCCATTGTCAAGAAAATAATTAATGATACAGACCCAGGTTTCTAGGTAAATCTTTTCACCAAGGATTATTGAATAATAAGATATTAGAAATGTAAGGTGCTCAACAGTGCAAAATGGGTCAAATACTTTTCAGTACATCCTTATAGATAGTAAGCTTTCAAATAGCTATGTTTCAAAAAAAATCCATATTATAATATTACAGAAAACGCTGACCATAAAGCAAGATATGAATAGTTCAATGATTAAGCAAAACTGGTGTCCATGCAGATTCACGGAAAAATGTTTACAGTGGTCATATCTAAAATGGTATCCCAAATCACAGCCTAAGTCATTGTGGCTAATACCCTATCTTGGGTTATGTTTTCTTACATATTCTTCCACTGAATCATCCTTAAAAGCCTATGAGTGAGTACATTGTTCATTTACACATGAAAAAAATGAATTTGGCACCTGGACAAAATCAAATACATTTTGTTACAAGGCTAGGATTAGAAGGCAGTTCTATCTACAAATGTAAGTTTGTAAGCAATATGTCACACTACTTCACAGACACTTCTCGCTCTAAGGACTCTGGTGAACTTTTAGGTTGAGTCGCCGAGTTTACAGATGAGGACACAGGACCACAGGACATGACTTGCCCACACACTGAAGAAGAAGTACCACATTCTCTTCATTGCACAACCATCCAGCCAGGGTGGCCCCCAATCACTCACGCCCCCAGGCAATGAGCTTGGGGTTTTGGTTCTCATTTTGCACCACTTCTCTATTGCTGGTAACCAGAAACGTTTGGATCCACCCTGTTATTCAATGGTCAAATTACATACTCCAAGTGGTACTGGGTTAGCCTTTGAACTTCTGGGGAAAGTGAACGTCTACAGAATCAAGTTTTTACCACCACAAAGCCAATGAGAGGAAGAGAGAAAGGCACAGGGATGCCTCGAGTAGAATTGGTCCAAGACCACCAGACAAGCTAAGCTCTTGAAGCAGGATGTCCCCCAAATTCATCCCCTTAACTAGGACACTGGAGCGTGAAAGGAGATGCCCC